ACTTTAACTTCAATTTCGTCGAATTCAGGAATAGTGAGTTTTTGTTGTTGTATTTCAGGAAGTTTGGGTAAATGGTCAATAATATCCTGCATTTCATAAAGATACTGTTCATTTGTTTCATCTTTCGCAGTGCAATCTAAATCTCCTTGGAGAAGTTCTTGCTTTATCTTCTGGATTTCTGTTTCGAAAGTATATGAAGAAGGAATGAAGCTTTTCATCTCTACTAACATAGATGTTGGGTTCATAACTAAAGAGTTTGGTGAAGTTGTTGCTAACATGTTCTTACAATAAAAATAAAAAATATTTTTTTAAAAATACTAACTTTATTTTCTATCTTAAGGAAATTCATGAAAATTCAACGGGTGAAAAAACAGGTGAAAAAAGAGGTGAAATCTCACCTCTTCACCTAAAATATATTTTTGCCGAATTCAATAAAAATAAATGGTTCATTTACTCACAATATTTTTGTACAAAACAACCCCAAACCTTTAACCTCTCTTCTGCAGCTTCTAATGCTATCTTAGCGAGTTCATATTCTCTAAATTCTCTCTTTAAATCTTCTTGTTCCCATTGGTCTAGTTCGTATGGAGAATCTCTATAACCAGAACATATCTCACGTTCATGTTCTATTTGTTTTTCATGCATTTTTCTAACTTCTTCTTCGAACAAAGGTTTTGCATTCTCTACTGTATCTTCAAGTTCTTCTTCATCTAACTTCTCATGAACTTTCTTGTCTATGGAGTCCATAATTTTTCCAACTGCTATACAATATTTTGGAGAAGCCCACATTGCTATATAGTTTACAAGTCTTGGGTCTACATACATTCCTCTAACCTGTTTGATTTCATCCGGAATTCCTGCATTAACATTGTATAAAAAGCAACCCGCGGAATTCCGCGGGGTGGTATATTCTTCACAAAATGCCTTAAAATACTCTTCCCAGGACTTATTTTCCAACAACCTTCTAAAGTCTTTCCTAAACTGCTGACACATCTTTGTTGCATTTATATAACCATCCTTGTCTCTACGTAAGACTTCAATACCGTTGTAAGTGCCTTTTGTGAATGTTTCGCCATTAGATTTGTTCGTGAACGTTTTTGCTTCGACTGTCATACTGTTCTTACAATAAAAATAAAAAATATTTTTGGCTTAACCGTCGGACATTCGTTTGTGGCTTAACCGTCGGACCACAACGATAAAAATCTCATTTTAACTCACTTTTTTTCTATCTTAAGGAAATTCATGAAAATTCATGAGGGTGAAAAAACAGGTGAAAAAAGAGGTGAGATTTCACCTCTTCACCTAAACATTATTTTTCAATACTTTTTCAGCACTTCTCCGTAGTTATATATGAAAGACAATTCGAGATAAAAGTCGTAGTACAATGGAACAATATGTTGCACACCATTTGTTGTGAACCAAACTTGAAAGTCAGAGAAACTGTTACTAGGTGGTTCGTAGAATTTAGAAGCAAAGTCATAAAAGTCCTTACCAATACAAAGAAAACTATTGTTGCTTGAACTGAAACTTGCATGACACATGACATTTTGAGGGTCAAACACGTTTCTATAAACTGTCAAATCTGTTGGTGGGCGTATAAACCAGAACGGACCGTCAGGTGGTAATGGTTCGTTCTGGTTTAGTAACCGAAGAAATTGTGCCCAAGAACGTTTGTCTACTTGCCAAAATAAAAACTGTGTATCTCTTGGAGGGTTATTTTCAATCCTTTGAAATGAAACTGTGGAGTTCATCTTGTCATATTCTAGTTTCAGATAGTATGTTCCATTTAGTAAAGAATCGTATTTTTCTTGAAATTCCCAGTAGTATTTGTTTATTTGAGTTTGAAAGTCATTTAGAGTCTTCTCAAGACTTTCGTCTGAACGAACTGTAAAGATTCTCATTTCGTCAAATTTGTCTAGTAGACCATCATGACCTCTATACCGCCCATGAAAATATACCGCAAACATAAACGCGTTAGTTCTTTTTGAAAACAAAACTCTTCTAAATCCTATTGCCTTTGCATCTGAAGGACTTTGAAGCCAACGAATTGGAAAGTCAAAGCGGTAGGAGCCGGATGAAATTTCTTCATCTGAAATAGTCCTACCGGCGTTTGTAAAGATATAGTCTAACGGTTTTGTATCTGCTACTTTTGTTCTTTGTTTTTCAACCTGAAACATTTAATATATGTAAAAATATACTGTTTTAAAATAAATGTTTTAAAATGGTATGCCATATAGCTTCTTGAATTTGTTAAGAAGTATTCGAACGCATTTTCCATCTGTATCTCTAGCGTTTACATAAGCACAGCCTTCCTTAGTAAAACATACTTGTAATTTCCTATAGTTTACGCCGGTATAAAAGTAGAAAGAGTCTTGTTCTTCGCTATAGTAGTAAAACTCAAACGTATGCTCGCCATAGTCTGTAATTTCAATTGTTTCATCTTCTAGTTCGTCGACAAATTCGAATACAATATCTCTAAATTTGCCTCTGTTCTTACTGTTTTCAGAACAAGTGACCCAACGTAAGTTTTCAAGTCTATTGTCATTTCTTATATGGTTTATATGGTCTACAAAAGGTAAATTGTTAGGGTTCGGTATAAAATGAGTTGCAATGACAACATGTTTTAAATAGTGTTTTCCACCAATCCTCATCCTAGCATATCCGTCATTTTGCTCCCATTCGCTTAAAACTCTTTTTGTCTTTTTGTTTCTGACTTCAAATGACTCACAACAGTGAATTTCATATTTCTCATCTAACAAACAAGTTTTCCAACAGTCTTTTCCGACAGACTCAGCGTACATTTCAAATAAAATAAAAAAATATTTTTTTTGAAAAATGTTTTTACTTTACTTTACATAACCACCGGCTGCCATAAGCCTTTGACGCCAACCCATACCAGCTAATGAAGGTTGGCTTGGTCTAGTATTGAAACTAACCTTTGGTTTTGGTTTATCTTCAGTTTTTGGCTTCCCTTCTTCTATCGGTTTTTCGTCACTTTTTGGTTCCTCTGACTTTACCTCACTTGCAGGTATGGTTGTGTCGTCAACCTCTTCATAAATATCATATGCCATTTGTTTTTGTTTTCCTTTCAACTTTTTGTGTTTGTTGTAAAGTTTAGAATATTTCGACTCTAAGTCAATGAGATGTTCTATAATGAACTGTTTGTCAGTGAAGTATACTTTCCCATCTGTTGTCTCGAAAATTCCTTCCGACTTCAATATTTTATTTGTGAGAGTCTGTTTCTTTTTTGAGATACTAGCCGTTCCATTTCTATGAAAAGTGACTTTATAGTTAGGGTTTGTATTTCCAGACCTGGCACTTTCTATTATTGAATTTTTCTCTTCATCTGTAAGTTCTTTGACAGGTTTTGACAATGGTTCTGAACTTTTTGTTTGTGGTGTCAAATCTACCGTTTCAACTTCTTCGGTCATTTCATCTCAGTAAAAAATTTTAGTTTGTTTTGTTTTCAACTGGTTGTTTAGGTTTTTTAAGTTGGTCTAAAACTTCCTGAGGTATAGGAAGAACTTGACAAACACGTGGTTGTGTAACTGCTGGAAGTCGACAAATCCATCTTGAACCCATTTGTCTCAATGCTGTATTGTTCATTTCATCTCAGTAAAAAATTTTACATTCCCCACGTTTGAGGCGGTTGAGGTTGGTTGTTGTTTACCCACTGTTGTGCATGGTTATATCCTCTGTTAAAGAATCTTTCACCTTGGTCCATGTAGTGTCCTGCTTGGTTATAGTAGTCATTTGCTTTGTTATAATAGTTTCCTGCTTGTGTTCCTACATTGTCCATCCATCCTTGAACTTTTCCTCTTGTTTCAGGATTTGGAATAAGATTTGCTGCATCTCGTGCTACCTCCCAACCTTTCTGTACAGTTTGTATAATAGGTTGTGCTTTCTCTTTCAGTATACCTAATGTACTCAAAATCTTCCTTCCAATTCCAAATGCACCTCTGGCTATTGTTCCCACTGCGGGTAAAAATCTGGATGCAACTCCTGCTAATGCGCCAAATAAACCCATTTCTTATGGGTTAAAAAATGACGAATCCAAACAAGGACCCCTATGTTTCTAAAGCGACAAAGAAAGCACTCATGATAAAAATCTTTAGTTCAACACCAAATGCTTGGTTTATGGATATCTTGGAAAACATTCCGAGGTATAGAGAAGATGGACCACCATACTGGCTAATATTTGTCGGTCAAAACACAAGATACTGTGAAGCCATACCATTACAGTCCAAAAATATTTTAGATATCTTAGCAGCTTTGACAATATTCGTTGACAAATACCATCCAACAAAACTGACATCTGACTGTGAAAGTTCTTTCAAATCAGACGATATTAAAAACTATCTGCGTTCAAAAAATGTAAACCAATATTTCATTGTCGACCAAAAACCATTCTGCTCTTGGTGTCATTGACAGTTGTATAAAAATCTTAAGAACTTAAATCAACCACAAGGTGGTGAAGCAAATGAAATGTCATATGACGACAAATATAGACACTTCTCCATGGCAAAGATGAGACAAGTTTTAAATATTTACAATAGCCGTAAACAAAAAGGTTTGGGAAACCACTCCCCCGAAGAAATGAAAAACAACCCTGACTTAGAGAAAGACTATATATTTAATAGTTTAGTCAAAAGAGACAAACAAGAAAGAATGCCAGGCTTCAAACTTAAGAAAGGTGACAAAGTAAAAATAGAAATACCTAAACGCGACCCATATGAAAATACTATTGACTATGACAACAATGGGAACTCGACAGGTACTCGCATTCGTGTTCGTAAAAATAGAAGAAAGTATACAAGAGAATATTATGAAGTTTTAGGCAAACATGGCAAAATGTACAGACTGCAAGCAGAAGATAAAACTACTATTGTCAGACCTCGTTTCAAACTTGTCAAAGTTCAAGGTGGTATACTTTCAAAGACAGTTCCTAACAAATATAAGACAACTCCTGACGAATATGCTAAAGAAGTTGAAAATGACGACTAAGCAATTCTATACCATGCGTAAACTGTCATGTAAGGTGGCATGTAGTCTTTACTTTGTCCCGTTGTTTGCGTATATCCTGAAACGTTATGTGTATGGTTTCCTTCTCCCTGAGTGTCACTCCAGTAACAATTTATAGCAAACTTAACGTTGTCTTTAACATCATATCCTTTACCTTTTGTCATTCCTGACCAATCCCAATATCTATGCTTATGCCAACCTGCTTGAGATGTACTTAAATCTATGTAGTGACTGTGTGCAGGTAAATTTTCACCTGAAATCGCTTTACTTCCACCTGTTTCCTTTGAAGAGTTTGCACAATACAAAAACCTGTCGACTATTTGAGTCCAAGTTCCAAAACCAAGTACTACTTCTGGTCTGGTAGAGTTCATTGACGTATAAATAGAACCTATAGGATATACTGTTTGAAGTATTTCTGTCTTTAATGTTTGAAGCTCTGTTTTGTCTGCTTTTTTATATAACTTTTCTTCAAGTTCATTTACGTCAGAGATGCTATGTCTATGATATTTTTGTGGGTATGTTCCTTCTGTCCATGCGAAAATACGTTCTTTTGTTGCATCTACATATCCTTTTATCCATGTCGAGTCTGCTTTTGTATTCCTTAACTCTGTAACACCTTTCTCAAGCTCTTTCAACTGTTGTCCATCTTCCATTAAACCTCTGGTATGACTTGAAACCGTTTGTGTCAACATATCTACAGTTTCTTTGTCGGCTTTAAGGTCTAAACACCCTGAAACCCATCCTGTATCGGCTTTAGTTTTTAAAATCTTTGAAGTCCGTTCATGGTACCATTCAACCCTTTCTTTAATTTCATTTTCTTTTTCATCCACATATTCCTTATCTGCCTTCTTCACTAACGCACTAGCCACACATGCTAACTCATCGTTAACATATGTTTTATCTGCTTTCTTTTCAACATCCTCTTTCGTTGCATATGTTGCATCTGCTCTGTCATGTTCTTCTTGAACTTTTTCAATGACATACTCTTTGTCAGCTTTGTTGTCAATATCTGCCTTCAAAAGAAGTTCATCTATAGGTTTCTCGTTTAAAGTTCTTTTTGTTGGATTTATACAAACAGTATGGTTCTTACTGTCTTGAAACAGAAACTCATCTGTCATTGGGTTTATCGTCAGTTTTAAGTTTCCTTCTTTCAATGACTCAGATATCTTAGAATAGTTTGAAAAGTTTGTTGTGTTCTTATTTAGAGCTTGCAAAATGAGTTGTCGGTTGTGTTGTATTTCTCTCATAGACGCTGTTTCTTTCGACATTTTTATTCTAGATAAAATATGCTTTCAATAGAAAAAGAAAATTCAAGAGTTGCTACAACTAAACCATTAGATGAACTTTTTACTAATGTCGGTCAAAAGTTTGAGACAGAGACCGTAAAGCATGAAGGCTATCGTTTTGACTACCCCTTAAGATGGTTAAGAGACCCATCCGTCACAAAAGCTATTGGCTTTCGTAGAATGAAGTTCATTTCAGAAGCCATACATGGTTTCCCATTTACGGTCGCTTTTGAAATTCGATACTATAACAAAGAAAAACGTACGTATGAGAAATTTGAACAGGGAAAACTTTTACAAGTGAATTTGCTTGTAAACTTAGAAACAACTCTTCAAGCTTTTCAAGAAAAAATAAACGATATCTATATCGAATATGCAAACCAGTATAACATTGACGAAGGAGAGTACCATCTCGATATTATATATGACAGGAAAAATGCAACTGTTAAAATCAATAGAATAGAAGACCTTGGAGAAGACGTTTATATTTCTACAAAATATAACAACTTGGCATGGTATAGGTTTCTGAGGATGTTAAATCAGCCTGCATGGTATCCAGTACACCCGGACTATTATGAAGTCGAAAACCCTAATGGAACATATGAAAATGTTTTCGACTCAGATGCTATTATAGTTCATGCTTCATTTTCTGGCGCCCAAAACTCTTTTTTATGCTTGGCAAATGACTTTTACGAAAAACCTACAAAGCTATATGAACCACCGAGTGGAAGTATTTCAGACTTTCAAGTATGGTTTACAACAGATGGAAGAAAGAGAATAGTTCCATTATACCATGCGTTTTACTTAGAACTTAGTCTCATATACAACTACTATCGAACGGTAAAAATATGATTTTTTAATACGGTTGAGGTGTTGGATTTGGTTGCCAACTAGACTGTGGTGCAGGTTCAGGCTGTTGTATAACAGGAGCTTGTTCTTCTGGTTCAGGGTCTTTAGGTATAATACCAACGAACTGACCTACTCTTTTGCCAATATTTTTGACTCCGTTCCAAATTCCTCTTCCGACAGATTTTATTCCATTCCATATACCTCTTCCAACATTTCGAAAGAAGTTTCCTATCTTACTGAAGAAACCCATTTTACTATATGTAAAAATCTAATGTCCGCCTAGTCTCTTACGTTTCCTGTTGAGTTCCATAGCGTTCTTTAACTGGAGCTCATACATTCTGTTTCTCCTCTGGTAGAAAACATATTCTGGGTCAACTCCTGTGTTCGCGTCATCTGCATAAAGTTGTTTATATCCCACTTCAGGGTTTGTATAAAACTCTTTCCATCTCATATTTGCATACCATGGTGGCAAACCTAACGCAGCGTCATTTGACATGGCAGTTTGCATTTGTACATCTGTTGGCACTTGACCATAGTTTGCCATTGCAGTTTGTATTCTAACTTCATTTGGAATATTCTCTGGGTTTGGTTGTCCAGGTTGCTGTGCATTCGCTAAGTTCTGTGCGTCCATTTAATATTAGATAAAAATATCTCTTACGAGTACATATGCTGAACATTTGCAGGCATTGGTTCATCTTCATATTCTCTATATCTTTCTGCCACGTCAAATAAATAGATGACACAATGGAAAAAACCTAAAACAAGTAGTCCTATTTCAAACCACATTTACTTACCAATAAAATTTCTTTGTTATGACACTTTCTCCAGTTTATAGGACCTCTCTCATATTCTATCTTATCGTATCTAAACTCATAGTCATGTATGTCCTCTAACCATCTCATGACACTTTCCAAACCACTTTTATCGGATGTAAAGTAAAAGCATGGATGGTTATGTAAAACGTCTAAAGTTTCTAAAGAGTCTCTCAAAGTCCAGTCTACTTGGTATTGAAAATCCCATGTGTTATAGAACGGCGGGTCCACTATAAAGAAAACATTTTCCTTGTCTTTATATTTTTCATACAACTCTGTCCAATGACATCTCACAAACTCTATACCCTCAATATATTTTTCTATGTCCTCTTTGAAAACATTTGTATAGTTAAGATATAAAACTTTTGACATAAGTGTTTCAATGTCATGAACTCTTATAGCACCACTATATAATAGTCTAGCAGATATACTATCCCAGTCTATATATTCTGCTTTTTTCAAAACCTCTCTCACAATATTTTTCTTATCTAATGGTATACGTTCCATCTTACCTATAGGTATCTTTTCTTTTAACTCTTTCAATATATTGTTTGTGTCTGGAATATGTTTGAGACGGTTCATATAGTTGTCGAAGTCATTGCATATAATCTTTGAGTCTGGGAATATTATATGGCACAAATGGGATATATAGAAACTTCCACCGAACAAATCTACAAATGTTAGACCATTCGGTAGTTTCTTAAGTTCTCTCAATATAATATCTTTACATTTACCCTTATTTCCAAAGAACGGTAACGGTGGTTTTGTAAAATTCATTTATATATAATAATAAAAATGTTTTTACCTGAAAAGTGACAGAAAAGTGACAAAACATGAAAACATATATAATTTGTGAAAAGCGACACATTATATAATGTTTTCGACCCAGAAGACTAACAATTTTCCGAATAAAAACTTCATTTATACTAAACATCTTCAGGGCTAGAAGGCACGAAGTGCCTGGAAGCCCCACTACCTTTTTTTTTTTTTTTTTTTTTTTTTTTTATACAATGTGTGTGTAAAGAAAATACTTTATTTACTAGTTAAAAAATCATTTGGTATTGATCAAGTTTTTTTTTCTGGATAAGATATTATATGGATAATTGGATAGAAAATACAATTATATAATCTTGTACCTGGTTTAATTAAGCTAATTGTCATCAGAAACTTGTAATTTTTATGAATTTCAGATTTTCTTTTCATTACTGCTTTTCTTAATAGGTCAAGTTCTTATTTACGTTATAAAGTATGATATTTACAAATATCAAGTTATCGTGTTTTTTGAGAAATTATGAGAAACAAACAAAAATGAAAAAGATAGGAATAGCAATGAATAGTGATGTGGGTATAGAAAATGTAAGAGATATGAATGCAAAGCAATCAGTATTTAGGACATTGACCATAGATTTCGAAAAAAAATGCTGCATATTGAGCGAAAACTATGATTATATTATAAGGCTGTCATTTAAAGCATAATAAAGCTATTCCCTTTTCATTTTAATCGAATAAGATAGTAAAGATTTTTGAATTAGCTAGAAACTGATGAGATGTTTTCACAAATCAGATTTTTAATCTCTATAATGCATAATTCACTCAATATCTCAATTTTGATATTGCGAGATATTTTTGCTATCGGTTTAGCAATTTTGACACAATAGCAAGAGGGTTCTATAAGCATTATTATCAACGTAGAATCTGAATATCATATCAGAAAATGTCGCAAATCTGACATTTACCCGACCAAATAGCAAAAATAATTGAATACTTTTCGCGAAAACTTTAAAAATCGATAAAAATATGAAATATAGATATTAAAGAGACTTTTTATATAATATTCATAAAGATTTTCCAAAAATATGATACCGCAAAATTAAAAAAGTGACGTCTTGAGTGGAGTCAAATGTCGAAATTGCTAGCTAAATGTTTTTTAGCGAAATTGCGTATTGTACGTTTTTTTCGCAAAACGAAACCCTTAAAAGAACTATCGATTTCCTAAATTTTTTAAACGAAAAATTTTCCAATTAGAAAATTGGTCAGATTGAAATTTTTTTGTAAATTTTTCATAAATGTGGGGATATTCCGGAGGATTCCTTGCTCTTCTTGAAGAAGATGATATTGACTATCAGGTATACGCCATTGATCAACTTCTTGAAGTTGTCGATCTCGAATGGGCCCAAATCGCTGACAAACTCGATGTTATTTTGAAACTCGCCAACGATGCTTCATTCCACTATCACGAGAAGGCCGCTCTTCTTGCCTCAAAGACATACTATAGACTTGGTGAATTTGCTGCCGCTGCCAAGTACTTAGTTAAGGCTGGACCATTATTCGACCCAACAGCAACAGACAACTTCACAAATACTGTCAAATCACAGCTCATTTCTCAGGTCAGAGTTAATGCTGAACAGAAGAAGGAGACTGATGAATCTACACTTGAAATCATTTACAAGATTTTCGACAACATGTTCGACAACAAGGACTACGCAGCCTTATTCTGCCTTGCCCTTGAAACACGCCAGAACAAGTATCTTTCTCGCTGCATTGAGACTCTTCCAGATCTTTTGCCATATGCGATCACAACAGTCCTTAAGAACGTCCACGACTCACAGTATCGCGCAGAAGTTCTGCAGGTATTGGTTACCTTCCTTTCTGACTCTGTTGATGAACAAGTTGCCAAGTTACATCAATTCTTGAATAATCCAGAAGCAGTTGCAGCCGTTATCATCACATTGCTTGCTATGGACAACTCAGAATTAGCTTACCAGATCGCATTCGACCTTGCCGAAGATGCAAGCCAGAAATTCCGTAATGATGTTATCCGTGAACTTGGCGAAGACGAATTAGTTCTTCCAGTCAAAGACATTCTCACAAGACTTACACCATTACACCTCGAATTACAGTTCCACTACCAGTATTCGAATGAAGATACTTCACTGATCGACGGCTTCATCGAAAGTCTCGACACAAAGGTCTCTACATCACACAACGCCGTTGTTACTCTTTTCGCATACATGAATGCTCACTCCTCTCACGATCAGTACTTCAGAGACCACACTGACTGGTTCTCCACACTTAACAAGTGGCCAAAGTTCTACTCAGTTGCATCAGCCGGCTGTGTCCACATCGGTAACCTTGTTGCTGCTAACACTATTTTCAAGAACTACACGGACGCTAAAAGAGACTCCGAAGTCACTGGCGGTGCTCTTTACGCCATTGGTTTAATCCACGCAAACTACGCGAACGACAGCGAGATCATCAATCTTGTCAACGGCTATCTTAACAACGGCAAGCAGATGTACATCATCTACGGTGCATCTCTTGCTCTTGGCTTAATCAAGATCGGCAGCCAGGACCAACATGACCTCGACAACCTTACAAACAAGTTATTCATGCCGGATGTCCAACCAGAGTGTGGTGAAGCATTTGCATACGCTATTGGCATGATCAACCTCGGCTCCGGTCCATGCGACTTGTTATCTAAGTTACTTGAATTTGCTAAGGACTGCCCACACGAGAGGATTGTCCGCGGCATCTCCATGGCACTTGGTCTTATGTGCTACGGCAAAGAGCGTCAAGCAAACATTGTTTACGATGCATTGATCAACAGCCGTAACTCCGTTTTACGCGAAGGGGCTGCATGGGTTCTTGCATTTGCATATGTTGGCACAGGCGACAACGAGACTGCACAGAAACTTCTTCACATTGCAGTTAGTGACACAAGTGGTGATGTCCGCCGTGTTGCATGCATTGCTATCGGTCTTCTCTTGTCTCGTCAGCCTGAGCGTGTTCCGGAGACACTTGGTCTTTTGGCCATGTCATACCACGCATACTGCTGCTCCGGTGCTGCTCTTGCCATTGGTCTTTCATGCGCAGGCACAGGAAACAAAGAGTGCATTGAGTTACTTAAACCATTGCTTAAAGACATGGATCCACTTGTTCGCCAGAGTGCTACAATTGGCATGGCAATGATCCTTCAGCAGCAGAGTGATGCCCAAGAGCCATACTGCGCCGAATTCCGTAAATTCCTTCGCTCTAAGATGAGGAAAGAGTCCGGTGAAATGACAACATTCTCCATCGGTGCAGCATACGGTATCTTGAATGCAACTGGCAGGAAATCCATCATCTCATGCAACTCTCTTCGCGGTGTCAACTCAATGCTTTCCACAGTTGGTGCTGCATTGTTCACCAACTACTACTACTTCATTCCTTTGTCACTCATGCTTTCACTTGCATTCCACACGACAGCGATGATTCCATTGGACAGAAACTTGAACATCGTTGAGTGGCAGGTCAGATGCAAGTCCAAACCATCACTATTTGCCGATCCACCAACATACGCGAAGGAGAAAGATGTTGTCAAACTTGCCGACAAAGTTGAACTTTCTGTTGCTCGCGAACTTTCCAAGGACGAGAAGAAGGCTGCAGAAGAGAAAGAGAAAGAACAGCAGGAGAAGGAAGATCTTCTTAAGAATGAACCACAAGAAGAAATCATCACCAACCCAGCACGTGTTACATTGGAGCAGATCAAATTCATCGATCCAACATATTCTAAAGATTGGAGTCCAATCATAACTCCTTCACTTGGTTTCATCATGCTTAAGAAAGAAGGTGAACAAGAAATGGATCAATAAACTTATAATTTTTTATTATTATTTTTATAATCTAATTTAAATTTAATAAATAATCTCTCCCATCTGAAGATTCAACATCAAGTTCTGTTTATACACTAAAGAAACTTCAAAACGGCCATTGTACGATGCCTAAATAAGTGATGCACTTTCATTTTTGTTTGGCATTAATGATGCGAAAGAAATAATATGATATATATTTCAAAATTCTTATAAAAATATTAAGGGTGCACCCGTATGTACGTTTATTTGAGAGGAGGAGGATTACCCTCTCAATTTTGAGGGATTCGTTAGTTTATTTTCTCGATGAATATGCAATAAAATTTGATTTTTACTTTATCAATATACTTCATATAATATACACATGTTCATGTAAAAACTTTTTCCCAAAATCCTCAGGAATTAATGAGTAAGACAGTTTTTCGACAAATAAATCGATAACATGGGAATTAAAATAAGGTGTTATATTACATATATAGTAAAGGATATGGATGTGAAGAGCGTTAGTAGAATGGAAAGACTTTGAAATTTTAAAAAATTTATCTGTACTAAAAAATTATTTGATTATAAAAGCATATTATATATTAATTGCTATATAGAATTATCATAACAGATTTTGGAAAAGCCGCAAATCGCCAAGCTGGAGAATTCATTAAATACTAATTATTCAGCTTTTTTTCGGAAAGGAAGGTAGTGTAGTTGTTGTGACCACTATGCTCTTTTTGAATCCAAAAGACGACTGTTCAAATCATAACATCTTTGTTTTTTTCTTTTTGTGTTATTATTGTTTTTCCTTGTTATTATTCTAATTAAAAATGTTTTAGTAAAGGTATTTTTGGCATCATTTTTTCAAATTGTCTCAATGCAAATGTTCGAAAATTTTGTAGGCAATATGACTACTCTTTCAACATTTGTTCTCTTTTATTAATTCAAACAGATTTAGGATCTAATTTCATGCCTTCGAAGACATTTAAACCATCTTCGACATAATTTATTGACAAATTGATGATTATTACTCACAAATGTCACTAATTTAATCTCCTGTCATTCTGTAACAAATTTTGATTCAGTAACAAAGCTCAGTAAAAACTTTACAAAAAATCTCCAATTTATTTTAGTGTCTTTTTGGATTTATGGCTGCATTCTCTTCTACATCTGTACGCTGTGTTTGGAAGAAGACGAAATACAGAAACTTTCTACACAAGTAATCAGATTTTCCTCTCTTTTATGTCAAAATGCTTCCTCACGCTACGCATGCGTCATGAATTAGATTCATTGTCAGCATTGTGTCCAAATAGCAAAAAAAAAGTAATAGTTTAAATTTCGCATTTTACATAAGTATACGCTTTAATTGATATCAAAACAGATTTAGATAGCTTAAAACAATATAGTTTACTCATAAATACATCTTGATAATTCACTTCTTCATTTTTCATAATCTTATATCCTGACTTATATCCTCTTATAAACCATATTTCTACTGAAATCTTCTTAAAGTATCTTTATATCCCTATCTACGCCTCGAAACCCTATTTTTCCGGCGGAATATGAATCTTCAGGTCTCGCTGATTCGATTTCTGCAGTCAGATCGTAAAAATACCTACTACATAGCCTGATAATCTCATTTTAAGTTCCTTAATTTTTTTGAAAAAAAAAATTCAAACTCCCTTATCAAACATCATGTTCATTTTTACGGATTTCATTTTTTCTTTAAGTTTAAAATATACACTTTTTAGCATGTTTATAATACATTTTCAATTTAAATTTACATTTTCATTTTTGAATTGTTTATTTATATTTCCGTTTGCACAATAATATTGAAAATAATTTGTGAGGAATACGGAAAGAATAAAAAATAGTATACATACCAGAATCACTTTTTTTACCATCCTGTGCTGATTGTTTATTATCGGCCCGCTATGCAAGAAATGATAGTAACGATTAGAGGATTCTCATTCTTCTATTCAATCGCTAGCAATCTTAAGCAATGTTATTACTTTCGTTCTTAATTATTCTTCCATATTTTTTAAATTCAAGTTAATCGCTTTAATTTAAATCAAATTGCTACAGTGTTACCAAGTATGAATAATAATAAGATCACCGATGTCAAAAAGGCATAATAAAAATCGAAATAACACATCTCGAAATAGCCAGCATAGAATTTTTCACGACTCTTCATTTTTATTCATTTTTTAATGCATATACGCATACATTGTTAACTGGGAAAAAAAATGCTAAAATCTGGCAAAGTTATTGCAAATCGAAGGGAAAGAATTGCTTTTAAATAATATTAGGTACCAGAAATTAATATACCCCTCAAGGTAATTGCAATAATGGTTCAAATATTTCTATAGTTCCAAATACATTCAAATAAAATTGCAATCTTAATTTTAAAATCCAAATTGATAATATCATCACACAGTATACATAAATGTAGTTTTCTCTTTTGTATCTATTTACTTGTTATCGTTTAAATATCATCATAAAATCTTAATTATAAACTATTTTGAAAATTGGTATGAAACCAATATTTTTATAAGAAGTACTGATACTTAATACATTCTAGCTTTTAAAATTTGATATTATCATATCATTTTTCGAATTTTATTGACTTTTTACACATTAAACGATGTAAACATGATTTTGCTTCAATTTCATTACATATCGTTTTTCTAAATTTTTTGCAAAATCATTTTTTCTAGCTGAAAAATGTATTTTTTAATTTCATCTTTGTTTTTTCGGATTTTTTTTGGAATTAAGAAGTGTGTAGCAGCGCGGCAGTGTCAATATAAAAGTCTTACATACCTTAAGAGATGATGAATATGATAAGAATTTTCAGAATTTATTTTCAATAACAAATATAGACTTAAATAGAAGGTATTTCGAATAAAATTGAAGCTGATTATGAACACGTACGGTCAAAAATGTAAAATATTATAATAAATAGTGTATAAATTATGTATTTAGTCTATTTTTAAGAACAAAATCTAATTAATTACTAATTAGTAATTAATTTTGATAGAGTAAAACGAGATTTTAGATAAGTTTGTTTGTATTAACAGCGATAGGGAGCTTCAACAGATTACCTTTTTGGTAATTTTTTTATTTTATTTTGGCTTCGCGTTAATGGTTTACGTATTGTATGCAAGCGTATTGATTCTATTCTTTAGTTAAATCATTTCTTGAATTATATGGAGAAATCCATTCCCAAAATTTGATGCTAAATCATATTTTTTTTTACTTGTTTTAACTTAAACAACACATGTCCTATAGGTAAAAATTGCATCGTATGGTAGAACTTGTTTGAACAGTAAAAATTCAATAACTTTGAATAAATTATTCGAAAGTATCGAGGTATTGCTAGCTTTGCGTAGCTGCTGTTAATACATTTCCAGTTTCCTACAAATAAAACCGGTTAATCTTTTTGGATTTCCTAATTTTCGCAATAAAAGATTTGATTGTTCTTTACATCGCATTTGATTGCATTTTAAACACGACATGCTTTCATACAATCGGTAACTAGCGATTATCTTTAAAAATTGTTCGAATATATTGTAGATTGAACTAAAGTTAAAATTATTTAACAACAAGATTCAATTTTTCAACAATAATCCAATAGCCATCCAATGTTAAATAGGATTATGTAATAAGAATGTCAAAATAAGATTTTTTTTAAATGCGAATATAAAAAGATCGTATTAGGTTTGACTTGAGTTATTTGACTTGCGACGTTTGAGTGATATTCATTTACGCTCGACAATTAATATCAAAACTATTAGGATTGCATCGCATTTTGTATACTATGTCCAGCAATGCGAGAGACTATTTTAAAAATGAAATAAATTATTTGTAAAAACACCATATATGCACGATTAGAACTATGTATTTTAGAGTTGTGAGCTATTAATTTAAAAATTCTCAATATTTTTTTTTTATTGCGATTTCAAGGAAAATATATTATTATTATTATTAAATATGTAATAAATTATATGCTTATGGATATAGACATAAAAAATGCTGAAACAATGAAAAGAAAAAAATAGTTGCCAAATAGAAAAAGTCGAACCCATACCCCTAACCATTGAGTTATCCTCACTTTCAAATTTTAATCGTAAAAAAGGTATTTAATCGCATAGCTCGCACCGTTCAGGCGTATTTCGAAGTTCTATATAGTATTAAAGATTAAGTTACACTATGTACAAAATAACTTTTTATTGTTATTTGATTTTGATAGCATTATTTGCTGAATATGAAAAATCTCGTAGAAATAATCATTTTATACAGACATAAGTATTGGATTGTTTCCCAACAATCATAATAACACACGTTTCATATTATAGTTTATTTCATTCCCGTACAAAATTTAGATAACGATATCAAATAAAAAAAACGGTGGCCTTTTTTTACTTCAAACTATCATCAAGTCTAATCAAATTGAGTGAGTATTCTTGCTATTAGTATGACATGAAAAAGTGATCGACAAAAATTGAAGATATTGTAGTTAACTCGGATTTTTTTAATTGCAAATACATCTATAATTGGTGTAAATATCATTTATTATATCAAAATCGAAAAATTCGTTTTTGGAAATCTTTGAATTTATGAGAAGTTCTACAAAGACACTTACAAATATAGCGTTTGCAATAAAAAGGCTCTTTAGTCTTCTTCATTCTTGCTCAGAAACCTCTGCTGGTTACCTTACGGGTAACCTGCAAAGCTGCTTCCAAGGCATCGGGAAAATAACGTATTTTCGTGAGACTACCTTTAGATAATCTCTCCATTCTGAAAATTCAACATCAAGTGCTGTTTATATATTATTATTTTTTTTTCTTCTTTTTTATCATCAAAAGAGATATAATAATGAATGAGTAATCACTTAGTTATACGTGTTTATTGAGAGCTAAGATCCAATTAAAATCCAAAGAATCTAAAATTTTATTTTCTAAACTTACATAACCATATAAAATCAAATTATTTAAAATTTAATCTTATTTTTCATTATA